AGGTAGAAATAATGAGATACAGAGTTATAATTATGTCATAAAAAGTTCTAATTATGACATTTTGACTTTTTATGTCATAAGTATGTCTTTTTATCTCATATTTATGAGGCCATAAAATGCAGTTTAGGAAGGCAGCTTACTAAGTTTTGGAACAGAGCTTCTGGCTCTTTAAAAGTTCAGCCAAGAATTTTTCCTGAAATCGTCTTTCATTCAGAAAGCTACTCTGATTTTGTTTGGAAAGTTAATAATGCCTCTTAAGATACAAAAACCAAATCTGAAAAAAAAAAAACAGAAATATAGTTTAGAAAATACTTTTTCAAGCATTTTATTCTGTGAACTTCATTCAACCCAGAGTGAAATGGCTCAGACTCGGGGGAGGATGACATAAAACACTATTTGAGAGTGAATGCATCTCTGCCTGTGTGTGTGTTGTGATGCATGCTGTGGCTTTGGTGCGTTAGCGTGATGTGAGAGCTCCAGCTGACCCCTGGCACGCCCTGCAGCTTACCCTCACTGAACTCACTCACACCTGGGCTCCACCTGGCCTGATCTCCCCTGCCCCGGTCAAACCTCCATCCATCTACCCTGCTCAAACAACCACCGTACACCTCTGCGAATTAACACGTGTGTGTGCATCTAATATAAAGTGCAGATTTAACCACAAACGCATGGGTGTGTAGCGTTTACACAAGAAAAAGGTAAAGAGGGGGTCAAATTTGCTCTAATCACATGGCTAGGGGTCGTTCTAATCTACAGCGAGTGTTGCGAACTAAGAGACTATTAATGCAACTCTTCCTTTTTATTAAACAAATTCGTCATTAAAAATGTCTTCAAATTTATGAACTTCATCCGAGACCAGGTAAATCCACATAGACAATGGTTCATGGGTTCATAGAGAAAAGCCCCTAGTGGCGAACCATTGAAATTTTCAAACATTTTAAAACAGTTATGTAAGTAAAACTAGTCTACTGAAATCATGTGACTTGGGCAGTTTGATACATGCTCCAAACCACTGGTTCGAAATAATTCACAAAGGTTTCGAAGCTTCACAAACCAGTGTTTCGAAAGCATCCATCACTACCAAATTACACATATTATTTGTTTTACCTCTGAAACAATTTTCTTTTTCAGTGATGTCATCTAGGCCAGGCAGGCTATTGGTTAATGCTAACCAAATAATAAAAAGCTGTTGTTTTAGCAAACTAACTCCGTTGTGGTATATACAGCTTTGGATAAAATCAAGGTCTGGACCTTTTTTTCCTGAAAAATGTATCTCTGATATTATGAAGAAAACACTGTAAAAATGCTGCCAGATGTAGCACCATTAAATTTAACTCAAATGTCAAAAGGTTTTGTTAGCATTTTCTCAGCTGGTCTGTAACAGTTAGTGTTGAATCAAATTTTTATGAGTTCCTGGACCTTCTGAGATGTGTTTTGGCTATGGTTTTCTGTGTGCATTATTTATACATTTGTGTGCTCTGTGTGTTTTGGCTGGCACGGATAGAGCTGATAATGCATGAGTGGAATAAGGCCTAATGTGTGAGTGTCATAATCACCATCAAATCGCGCAGGGCTGGTAACGCTACACACGGACCTGTGCCAGATTTAGCAGCCGTGTGTAAGGACACACTCTTAAAGGGACAGATACAGCCCACAACATACACATGGGACACAGATTGACACTATAAGAGAACAACAAGGACAGAGAAATTGGACTATGCTATAATACTGTAAAACTCTAGTTAAATGGTTATAATTATGTCCAAATTGCTGGAGAATTGAGAAAAATTACAGCCATAAATATTTATTACTGGCAAATTTTAACATTAACATGCTTTATTCTTAGACATAGTGCTAATCCGGTTGCTAAAGCTAGGGAAAACTATTTAACTAGGTGGCAATTTCGTATGAGTTGATGTAACGTCACACGGGCATATGCAGATTATATGAAAACATACAAATGAGTACGAATTCATACAAATTAACTACCAATTCACCAAACCGTAAAATAGTTACGAATTCCCATGAGATTGAGTTGGGAGAGATCAATTTGAAAAATGCTGGATGGAAACACTAAAATGCAAAAAAAAATAAAAATACACAAAATATATGCACTTTGCAGAACTGTCTGATACGGATACATCGGTCACCAATCATTCGTAAAAATTACATTCGTCAGAGAGTTTGTATTCGCAATCTAAACCGTGAGTAATTTATTACATAAAAAAGCCACAGTGACAATTTTGTTCTCTTGAATGCATGAGATTTTAAATGCCGGTTTAAGGCCTGTTCACACCATTTTCACTCAAATCTGGTCACACTTTGTGCGCAATTTGCGTAAAAAAAATGGTTTCTTCCTCTGATTTTCACTGTCGCTTAGCGAAATACCACTAAGTCAGTTTTATGTAATTGTAACATTAGTGGCTCTGGGCATGTGACCAAAAGAACAAATCTGATTGGTTGGCCAGTTTTCTTAACAATGTGATGGAATAGAGATTAGAAACTGTCTATGAAAAAAAAAATCCTTTGCATTGCTGGCATGCAAATGTTCATGTTGATCTGAACAGGCACATTAACAGCTAATTTAAATTAAAATGTTTGTCGCACCAAATATTTGTCTTTTTCCCAATATATTTAGAATTATTTTATATTTAGCAATTTATAATTAAACAAAAAACAGTAAAGAAACTTTACTTAAAAGTAAAAGTAGTAAAAGTAACTTAAAAAAGTAGCTATAGTATTTTTAATATAAATAAATGTTTTATTCATTAATTTCGCAACTTATATGGAAAGCTGTTGCTAGTGTAAATTTAAACTTTGCAATTCCTAAAATGTACTTATTTTTGGAGCTTGGCTCGTATCATTTCAGACTATATTGGTGACAGAATGTGCATGCATGTTTATTAGTACTGAAAAAGTCTGGATTGAACACATTACACATTCTATCAAAGTGCTTATTATTCAAAAATCTCTAGATTTTCAATGCATGAGTTACAAACACACATAAGAAAATTTAAAAATCGACTTTTTCACAAACAAAATCAGCAACACTCTTAAGATCCTACAGTTTCCATCGCATTTTTTAATCACCGCATTCATCCCAGAATTCAATCTGACAGTTAATCTGAACAGTATTTTAACTCTTTAATCGGTTTGTGTCATGACCTAATCTCGCTGTGTGACTAATGTCTTCCCCTCAGACAACATATCTGACACATATCGCATGACTCAATGCCTGCAGGCTTCACAAACATGGACAAGCATGACGGACAATTCAGATGTTCTACTTTCACAATTATTTTTAGGTTATGCGTCCATGACATTCAACTGATCTTGGGAATGTACTGTAATTTTTTCTCCCTCATTGTGCAGTACTGTGTCAATATTGTCTGTCTGTCTCCGCCGGTTTGTGAATTCCTCCCCTCAGAAAGCGCTCAGTAGAGGGAAGCCCACCCAACTAGAGTCAGAGACCTCTCAACTGCACCATGACTGTCAATGTGTGTGAGTAAGGGAGATCACGGCCCCACTCAAGCATCTGCTGTGAGGTATGTGTTGTTTCACTACGACTGACAGCACTGAAAATACACACACATACAGACAGTTGAAGCTAAATTAGCGAGAACCTCTCATAGACATGTTCAAATCACCTCTAGTTTTGATGCTAAGATAACATTTAATGTAACAGTGCTGCAGGGATGATGTTTTTTTGTAGGCCAAAACCTGGAAAGCAGTTAGCATTTTAGCGCTACCAGTTCCATCGTCCTGAAGTCAATGAGTTTTTGGTTAAATGCCTGAAATAAGGTCTATGGTGAACTCAAGTTCAAGATATTTGCGTGTTTTATTCTACAGCATTAAATACATCAGTAATAGGTTTTACTTCCTAAAACGGCAGTTGCTAACAAGTGGCTAAACGTTACTACAGAGGACATTAAACAGCATGCCGACTAATCTGCAACTAATCTGCTTCAAAGCCTCATTGTGTTTATAATCATGCTCTTACAAACTATTCTAAGCCAAACGTTCAGAAATAATGTTTTTTAAAAAGTCTAAAGCCCCGTTCACACCAAGAACGATAACTATAAAGATAACGATATTAGCGTCCACACTAGCGAACGATATCGTCTGTTTGTTCTAAGCGCACATGCGTCTGCCGCTTTAAATTCTTGAGCTCAATACAGCAGGATGGATTCTGATTGGCTGTCAGTGTTTTATCGTTCATCAGCTGGGAAAAAATCGTTTTGAAAGTGAT